TATCGTGGACAATTACGGAACAACTACACGGCCGCGTATTGCTGACAATTCTAATTTTGGAAACATGAAAGTGTCACAAGTTACCTCGCTACAAGATTTCGGAAGTATCAGGATTACTAATATATATGATGAGAAGCCCCCAATCGAAGTATCAGTTTCGCTGGAAAGTTTAGCCGTAAACAAAGTATCTATTGGAAAAGAAGGAAGGGCTCTACAGGCAGATCCAGGTTATATTGTTCTTGCCGACAGTGGCTGGGTTTCTCCAAATACTGATATGTGCATCGTAAATCGGGATGGCAACACTATATGCAAAGACAAGGAGATTGGAGAAATTTATCTGAAGAATGACATTTACCCTGAAAGATTCCTGTTCAAAACATTCTCGCCGCATAGACATGTGTATCAGAGAATATCCGATGTAGGAAATTTCTTTCCGTCTGGCTGCATTGGATTTGCCTATGGAGACCGCCTTTTCTTGCTTGGCTCCATCGATGACATGATCACTCAAACAAATAAGGATGGCTCAATCTCTTACTATTTTGCAACAGATGTGAATCAATTAATCAAGCAAAGATTTTCTAATGCACTTCGAAGTTGCGCTTTCTCAATTGTCCTAGGAGATCAAGAACTTCCTGCTATCATTGTGGAAGTTGTCTCAAAACTGTCTTCACAAGAACTTCAAAACATGGCGAATTTCATTAAGGAAACTTTAAAAACTGATTTGAAGCTAAGAGCTTACGCCATTCTCTTATGTCCAGAAGGAACATTACCTAGAGACTATGATGGAGCAGTTTATATATCACAAGTCAGAAAGCTATTTGATTCCGGATTATTGAATCCGTACCACGTCTTATTCAATGTCAAAGAATCTGTAAATGATATAATTTCAACTTCGGAAAGACCACAAAACATTCCCAATCTGAACAGACTGTCCGCTTCAGCCTCCGACAGAGAGATGTTGCAGATTGCCGATGGAAACAATGTTGGCGCTGCAGGTCATGGTTTAGGCGGCTTTGATAAGCAGAATAATCAGGATCTACTACAGTTTGATTCTTTGTTACGTATTGTCTTGTGGAGAAGCGTCAAAAGGCCTAATGATATGGCTTTGATTTCTCTTGATGGAAGAGGAAAAGAAATGAAGACTGTTACTTTCAAAAAGTTCAACCACAAGATTCTTAAAATTGCGACATTTTTGACAAAGAAGGGACTCAAAATGGGAGACACAGTTGCACTTGTATTTAGCAATAGTTTAGATTATATTTATTCATTCTATGCTTGTTTCTATTTGGGGGTCACTGTTGTACCTTTACAACCACCTGACTCGCACGATGCTACCGAACAACTTAATGTTTTAGCTTACGTTTCAAACAAGTTTAATATTCACCATATTTTGACGAATGAACACGGTGAAGATTTACTCAAACACAAGTCTGTTGCAGCCGAGTGGAAGAAGATCAAACGCTTGAGTGATGTTGCAATCATCAACGTTACCAAAGCTGCCAAGCAAGATGAAGCTTACTTGGAAAATGAAAAGTTTGATGAAGTTATGAGATTCATGACGGCCGAAACAAACCGCTATGCAGTCATTCAAGTTTATGTCTCCCCAGATCGTGATATTTCTTTGACTTATGCAACCCATGACACTTTGATTGCTCAGTGTGCAATATTTAAGGAGACGTGTAACATGATTCCTTCAAGACCAATTTTCTCTTGGTCAAAGCCTTACACTGGCGTTGGGTTGTTCTATTGTGTTGCTCTTGGTCCTTTTGTCGGATGTCCTACTGTTGTCATTTCCGCTGCTCATGTTTTGTCTTCATCAAGAATTCTTGTTGATATTCTCTCCAAGTACAAGGTCAAAGATGCTTACGCTCCAAAACATCTCCTAGATCTAATATTTTCAGCAAATCATTCAGCAGATTCCAAAGAAGCTTTACTGTCAAATCTTAGAAGTATCATGGTTTACTTTGACTCCAGGCCTTTGATTATTAAGAGGAACAAAGCGTTACACGATCGATTTAGGTTAGATCCTGACGCTGTTTCATGCACATTTTCAACAATGGCTCATTCTTTATTGTCATCTCGCTGTTACCTTGCAGATGATGCAACTGTGCTTGCACTTGATTTGGCATCCCTTAGAAATGGTTTGATCAAAGTTGTGGAAAGAAACTCTTTGGGCAGCATTCGCCTGCAAGATTCTGGAAGAGTTTCAACATGTGCATACGTTGCAATTGTAAGACCAGGCACAGACAAACTTTGCTTGTTCAATGAATTTGGTGAAATATGGGTTTCATCACCAGGCCTAGTAGACAAGTTTGACGAAGAGACGGCAACCATGCAAGTTGATGGTCTTGATGTCGGAGGTTTCATGAACACAAAAACTTATGGCTTTCTCTACAAATCAACTATTAATTCTTACCAAGACGGAGAAACTAAGCGTGTTCAAGGAGAGCTACTGTTTGTTCTTGGAACCCAATCTGAATTAATAGCGTTGGAACATGGAGACCGCAAGTACTATTTCTTTCAAACAGATATAGAAAATACAGTTGAGCGCGTTCATCCGAATATCCTTGGAGCAATTGCTTTCATCTCCTCATTTGCAGGTGGTTTGGTCCTACTAATCGAGCTGCTGGATCCAGAATCTGACGCTAACAATTGCTTGCCAGTTATCGTGAACGCTGTGATTGATGATCATTGCATATCACCGCACATGGTAATATTCCTGAAGGAAAACGAAATACCAAGATCAAGAAATGGCGATAAGCAACGTAAAATTGCCCAGAAGATGTTTGAAGAGAATCAGTTCAGCAAATCCTTGCTGTTTTCAATAAACTGAGAAATGGCTTCGATGAAACTCCCACAATTAAAGTTTGAGCTTCTTAAGGGAATTAACCCAAAGAAAGCAGAGGCCGATATTTTAGAGGAAATAAAAAAGAATGAAATGGCTCCGTACTATGAACAACTTTGCGCTGAAGGTGTCTTGAAGAAGGAACAATCACTCCTAAGCGAACTGTCAAAGAAGAACGAAGCTGAGTTACAAAAACTTAAGGAAAAGCTCGAAGACGCAGAAAAGAACTTTGGCGAGACAGAAGTTCAGGATGCTTTGGTTCAGACTGCTGAGTATTTGGCAAAGATTGGAGACAAAGAGAAGGCCTTGAGCGCTTTCAGGCAGGCAGCTGAAAAGGCTGTAGGAAGCGGCGCAAAGTTGGATTTATGTTTTGCGCAGTTCAGACTTGGCCTGTTCTTCGAAGACTGGGAAATTGTTAAGAGACAGACTGAGAAGGCAAAATCCTTGATCGAAGAGGGCGGCGACTGGGACAGAAGGAACCGTTTGAAAGTTTACGAAGGCGTTTCCTTGTTGAGTATCAGAGATTTTAAAACAGCCACACCTTTGCTTATTGATGGTTTGGCTACGTTCACCTGTACTGAGTTGATGGAGTACAAGGACTTTGTGAAGTACGTTGCTTTAACTGCTGTTTTGGTGTTGCCCAGAGATGAACTTAAGAAGAAGATCATCGAGTCGCCAGAAGTTTTGGAAGTCATTCATCAAATTCCTCATATGGAATCATTTGTTAACTCTTTGTACAATTGCGAGTATGGAACATTCTTTCAAAACTTGGCCTCAGTTGAGAGTATCATGAAGGGAGACAGGTAAGCATTCCATTTAAAGTTGTTCTAATTTAAGATATTTGAATGCTCACTATGCTTGGTATGTAAGAGAGATGAGAATCCGAGCTTATGCGCAATTATTGGAATCTTACAGAAGTGTTACTTTGGAGTCAATGTCCAAGCAGTTTGGCGTCACCGAAGAGTATTTGGACAAGGATTTGTGTAAGTTTATTGCTGCCGGAAGACTGCATTGTGTAATTGATAAAGTTTCGAATATTGTTGAAACAAACAGACCAGACACAAAGAATGCGCAGTATCAGTCTGTAATTAAACAAGGTGATCTATTATTGAACCGCATTCAGAAGCTCAGCCGTGTCATCAATGTTTAATGATAATAAACAATTTATCTGGAGTTCTTCTTCAAAGCGTCTAGTATGAATAGCCATGTCTGTTTCAGATCAGAATACGCTGGGATGGACTTGCGAACTTGTTCAGTAATGCTAACTGCCTTGTCGATGGATCCCATGCGTATGTAGCACTCAGCTAGATAAAGCCTATATTTCGTAACTTGATGAT